AGTTGGGGGGAGGGAGGGTGAGCAGACTGGGTGTTGGTAGAAAACCCCCCAGAAAGAAGAGAGGCCGTGAGGAGGATGCGCAGACGCGTGTCACGGGGCCTCAGGGCTGCTAAGGTGCCTCTGCCCCGGGAGTGGGCTCGGGAGGGGGAGGAAGGAGGGAGAAAGAACAAGACTTGGCATGAGGACAGGGCGGTGGGGCAGCCCAGAGGGCGGCCGGGGGCTGAGGGCCAAGCGCAGCCAGTGCGGTGGGAGCAGGAGCTGGACGTGCCGGCCTGAGGCCGCATGGGGTGGCCAGCAGGGTGTGCAGTAGCCACTGGCTGGGCCTGGAGGACAGAGATAGTTTGGGCGAGACTGGAATTTGGGGTGCATAGCATGCATTTTGTGCCTGAGATATGGACAGGACAGGAGGATGGTGACTTGGGGGTCCCAGTTTGGAATATTAACACAGGCTGGATGATGACGCCCCATCTACATTCTCCTCACCCCAAGGACCTGGAACACGAGCCCACGTTCAGCCTCCCATGAGCAGTGTCACTGTCTCTGCCACCCAAGGTTGCCAGCCAGGCTGAGCCCTGGGGACACTGCGCCACCCAGACCCAGGCTGCAGAGCCATTGCGCCCCCACCCGCTGGCACGCCTGGGCCTGCGCTGAGTCCCACACCCCCTCCTGCCGCAGCAGTTGCTCCGTGGAGCCCCGTGGACTGGGAGTGCGTCCCACCATAGCACCCCGGCCCAGGAAGCTCAGGCCCCAGAGGTGGGGTGATTTATCCATGGGCAGGCTGGAGTCAGACCAAGCCCAGCCAGCGCTGGGGGCTCTGCCGTCCAATTCAGAGTGAGTTAGCACCGGGCGCTGGGGCCTGGGAGCCCGTAAGGTAGAGGCTGGAAAATCCTGAGTGTCACGCCCAGGGAGGAACCAGAGAGAAGGAGGTGCTCGTAGCCTCCATGGCTGCAGGGGCTGCCACAGCCGGCTCGGACCGTCCCAAGGACTCACGGGAGCCGGGAGCACTCTGCAGACCCGCGGGCCGGGAGTGTCACTGCAGGCCCCAGGAGGCCAGGAGAGCGTCGAGCTGGTGCCAGCTGCCCAGCAGCCTGAGCCTTGGGACAGATTTTTACATCTTTGGAAATGTGCAGCGTGATAATGGAGTAAGAAGGTCCCCACACTTACAACATCCACTTTCAAGAGAAAAAGACAAACCAGAGAAACCGCCTGACCCCGTCCCTTTCCTCACGCCTCAGAGGACGCCGGCGTGGCCAAGCTCTCGGCACGGTCCTGGCCAGACGGCTCCACGCCCGCAGGGACTTGCCCTCACACACTGCTCGGCGTCCCTGCAGCCCCAGGGAACTCGGGCGTTAAAAGGACGAGCACGTCACACAGGCAGCGCGGCCTGGCTCCAGCCTCTTCACGCTCGGCGCTGCAGCTCCAGAATCAGGACGACAGACGCCGCCTCCCGAGGGCGATGCGGTGAGCACAATGCGCTAGTCCAGGCGCCGGATCCCCAAGGCCGGGAGGACATGGCACCACTAGCCGCCTCCAGCTTCTGTGGGCTCCTGCCAGCAAGACCGCAGCGGCAGCGGCCGCCAACTGCCGGTGAGAGCGCGAGGAGGACCCGGGCCCGGATGGGGAGGGCACAGGCGCCAGCTGCACAAGGCCGGGGCTAAGCCCAGGGCGGGAGACACACTGAGAAGGCAGGTCAGAGGGCAGGGGCCGGGGAATTACTGTCCTTGGAGCTCAGAGACACCCCCAGGCCTTAGGGCAGCCCCAGCCTGCCTCCAACCCACAGGAAAGCTGAAAAGGGAAAAAAGGCGGCTCCAGGCGCCTGCACACAGCACAGGGGCAGCGGGCCGTGCCCACGCTTCCCTGATCTTACTGTGGACTCTTCCAGAAAAGGGCAAGTCAGAGGCACAGGCCCAGAAGCGCCTGCTGTGTGCCACACAGAACAGGTGCCAGAACCTTCTTCACGTGAGCTCTGATGGGCTGGAGCTGGGCCACAGGTCTGCCCAGAGGGAGCGACTGGCAAAGTCCCATGTGTCTGAGACGGTGTGGGCAGACAGAGAGGGGCAGGCCAAGATCTGTGACCCAAACAGGGCCGCGGGCTGGGCTGGGGCCTGTTTCCAGGCTCTGTGCTCTTTGGTCCACTCGGTGTGTTACAGGCAGCGGCCATGGGCCAGGCGCTGTGGGGGGCCAGGACCCAGGAGGGGCTTGCGGCTCATGGCACCCACATCTGGGGGTCAGAATAACATGAAGGGAACACACGTGGTCGTTGTGGAAAAGGACAGAGGAATGGAGCACCGAGGGGGGCTTTCCGAAGAAGGTCGGAGAACGAGGAGCTGGTGCCCCTAGGGGACAGAAGCCCGGAACTGCCGGCCAGGCCAGGGCCCCAGAGTGCTTCCGGCCGGGGGAAGCCACGCATGAAGACTGGTGGCCCCACCACTCCATCTGCCTCTGCCCGTGCGGTGAGGACACGGTGTTAAAACCCAAAGCCACGAGCACAGCCCCCGCAGGCCCTGTCTGGACACCTCACTGAGTTCAACAGCAAGGGGAGTGCACACAGGTGCCAGGGTGCCTGGAATGTCCTTGCTGGCCTTTGTCTAGTTTCCCTAACTGGACAGCAGGTGCCAGTTTCCTCCGTCCTTTCTGCTGCTGAGCTGGAAGGAACTTTGCTCAGGTCAGCCTCAGCCGCCCAGGCTGTCAGCCTTCGATGTGGTCCTTTCTTGCCAGCTGCGGCTTCCGAGTCTACCAGGGCGAGACTCCCGAGAAGAGTCCCGGGGAGAGCAGGGGCAGAGCAGGGCGTTCGTGCCGCCGCAGCAGCAGGGACCCACACCAGTGTCCACCCAGGGCCAGCTGGGCCCACGGGGGCCTCCCAGTGGGCGTTCACAGTCACTGGGCCGCGGCGCCTCAGGGACGGGAGAGCACGTCGGAGTCAACTCGACAGATAAAGTTGAGTCGTTTCGTTAACAAGAACTCAGATCAGATTGCGCTGTGATTACATGGCTCTGCGGTGTGATAAATTGGTTAATAACAGGATTCCCAGTGTAGCTGCTTAATGGGAATTCAATAATTGCAGAGTCCAGAACTGTACGCTTAGCCTGGGAGAAACACTGCCCCGGCCACCCCCGTCTAATAACCCAGGGCCTGTCCAGCTGACGATGCCCCCGCAGCCTGGCGCCTGGCCACGCTGCCCTCTGGCCACGCTGCCCTCTGCACAGCACAGCCACACCGGCCCATGAAAGCCGGCGGGTCTCCTGCTTACCTGTCCAGTCGAGGACCTTCCCTTATGGTCTTTATCACCGTTTACTCATGATCCCATTGAAAAACTGGTGACCAAGAAATAATAAGAATAAAATAGTATGTTGATCGCATCTGACAGTGCAGGAAACTGTTTGGCTGACTTTGCTCTGGGAGAGAAAGGCCCTTCCCCAAACGCTGTGCACGGCCAGGGCCGGGACCCCTGTCTTGAAGGACACTGAACCATAAAGAGGGTAACGGCCCCCGCTCAGCCCCCAGCCCGCAGGAGGGGCTCGGAGCCCCGTCACCCCACTGCAGGCCGCCCAGCCCCGTCGTGCTCACGCGGCAGCTGTCCGGGAGGGACCCGTGCCCCCGAGTCCGCCCGTGATGGGGGCATCTCCAGAGGCCTTAGAGAGAAGCCCCAAACAAACCGCTGCTATTTTGGAAGCAGCAGGTAACTAGCCATAAACTCCTGTGACAGCAGTTTTAATTTTTTCCAGCCATATTATCGTCTTTAACAATAAGAAAAATAGAACAGGGGATTTAAAACATCAAACGGTCCATTAGACAGGTCCTGAACTTGGTTTTGAAACTCCAGATAACACAGCTTTGCTGTTTTGTCTTTCCAAAATGTCAAAATTTGGCCAGGATTAATAGTTCTCTAAATCAATAGGATTTCATGTTTATAAATGGTTTACGGTTCCGCTGGATATAAAATGTTATGAGCTCATGTATTATCATCATCGCTGAGCCTTTCCTGAAATCTGCTGACATTTCGGCTGGCAATCCAGACCAGGAGCCCAAGGGGCACAGAGGGGGTGCTCCGGAGCCTGCTGGAGGGCAGAAGGGGGGCCCCTCACCGAGGCTCCCAATGAAAAAGCCCGGGTGTGCGGGGGGGCAGTCGGGAGGCAGAGGGAGGGTGGCGATAAAAAGCCCGAGAAGGAGGGAGCTGAGCTAGGCACGTGCCAAGGTGCTGTGGAGACGTCGCCTAGGTCACTTTTAGTCCTGTCACTTTATCTCCATCATCGCTCGGGGCACCTGCCCTGGCCCAGGCCTGCAGACGCGTCAGCGAGGTAATGACCAGCGGGTGCTATTTCCTCAAACACTGTGGCTTCGCTGAGAAACCACCTTTCATGAAGACTGGGTGACAGTCAGTGGTGCCGACTTGAAACACCGTTGTCCCCTTTGTTGGACAGTTTGGCTTTTACCGGTTTTCAGATGCATGAGATTTTCCCAGGGAACATAATGCAAGGTAGCTTCATTCCAGGACTGTTTCAGGGAGATAAATGCATTTCTCTGACCTTGTAAAAACATGCTCAGGACGGAGCTTTCACCGACCCGCTGGACGGGGCCCCGGTGACCGCTGGACGCTGAGACTCGTCCACGTAGCGCCTGTTCAGTGTTTGGACAAACAGGGCTATCCGCCGGCCCCGTCATGCGCTGTAACCGTGCCTGTGCACGCTCAGAACGCCACGCTCGAAACCCTACACTCTCAGAGCTGCGCAGGTGTGCCATGAAGGCAGCCCTCACCTGCGAACCAAAAAGGCCTTTGCACTAACATGTCATCCACCAAAGGTGTGCCGCGAACCCGCAGCCACGCTCGCTGTGACACAGCACTCACCACAGCACGGCCACCGCGCCCCAGCCAGCCAGAAGCCGCGAGGCGCATCAAGGTCCTCTCCCGCAGGAAGGGTGTCGCGGCGTGTCGCTGTAACTAAGGGGCCTTCCCACAGGCGAGACCGCGCACTAAACTCTCCTGTCTCTTTCCTTTCCAGTGTGGAGCTAGATTTTAAGCAGCAAGAAGACAAACTCCAGCCAGTTCTGAGGAAACTCCATCCTTTTGAGGAAACTCAGGTCGCACCTTCGCCTTATTCTCAGGAGACTTACTCCGCAACCCCCAGGCAAAAATCCAAAACTGAATCTAAAAAGCACGGAAGATGGAAACTCTGGTTCCTTTAAAACCCGCGGTGTGTGGCGCCGACGGGCCGTCTTGAAAAGCCACTGGAGTTCAGTAAGTCCTTTTCCCAAATGAACAGGATCGAGTAAGCCGTGGCTGGCGCGGGGCCACGCAGCCCTCACCTGCGTACCAAAAAGGCCTTTGCACTAACAGGTCATCCACCGCAGGTGTGCTGAGTCACGCCCGCGAGGGTGTGCCCTGCAGCTCACGGACCTGGGATGTAAAACCTGAAACGAAACTTCCGTAGTCAAAGATGCTAGGAGCGCCAGCCCCCCTCAGCTCGGCGAGCATCGTGTCTCTGGCCTGCAGAACGGCAGGCGGCCACTTACACAGCGAAAACTCATACTTCCTTTCAAGCCTTTATTTTTGTTGAAATACGGAGAAGAAAAAGCAAGCCTTATGTTTGCAAAGGACTTCATTTTTACGTTTAATTTTGCAAATAAGCAGGGGGCGAGTGCGATTTTCAGCACATCAAATTCTGGAGAAAGCACAATTTTTTCAAGTGGTCGGAGACCATGAATAATCTCTGCACCGTGACTCTCTGTATATTTGCCTTCATGTGCTGTAGCGCTACGCCGAGTGACCACGTCTCAGTGTCACGTGACGCCCCCGGCCCCTCCCCCTGCCCATCGCCAACCCTGCAACACGTTTACTGCTACTTTCCAAACAGGCAGCAGCCCGGAGCCCCCAGCCGTCGGGACAAGCCTTCAGTCCCTGCGAGCTGGCAGGGGCAGAGCAATCGGACACTAAGCTTTCTTTGATCTCATTTTTAATCTTTCAGTACCCAAAGGCCAAATGATAAATCCTGGCGAGAATCTGGAAACACACAGATGAGACACACAACGGAGAACACGTCGCCGATACATCAGCGGGGCTGCGGGCCGCTGGGCGGTGTTTCTGTGGCTCAGCCCCGGCGACAAGGGTCACCGACCTTCCACACCGCCCCTTCCGCTTGTGACGACTGCGGGCAACCTGCCCCTCGAAGAGGAACAGCGTGTCCAGGTGAGCTGCTGCCAACGAACTTAACGTCTCCTCCATTTAACCTACTCGTAAGTTGTACTAAACGACATCCCTAGGGCAAAGCTGTGAATCAAATGTTTTTAGGTCTTTTTTAAATAAACAGTGACTCTTCGGGTCTCTTTTGGTCACACATGGCAATATAAATCTTAGTTCCTTTATTTTTTCACTCATTCCTTTGCAAGTATCTTTTTTATAGAAATCAACAGCCCCTAGTTGACTAATGACTTTGTCTATCAATTTTTTGCTTTTCACAGTAGGAAGTAGGGATTTATTTTGCCTTTTTTTGTACAACTTAAATTTTGAATAGTTTGTGAACCTAGGAGAAAACCTAGTCTTCAAGTTTCTGTCCAACAGTTTCACATCGAACCTCCTGCCGACCCACACACCTCACTGATCAGATGCCAAAAACACACGGTTACCCTGATCCACAGGGTACGAGGCCCCCACCTGCATTGTCCCACTGGAGCTATTTCTTGCCATGCATTTTCCTCCTGTCTCAACAGCAAATCTATTTTAGTTCTCAGTGTTTCGATTCTACAAGGACCTAATGATTAGCAATCAGATCTGGACTTGCAAAAAATGAAAAGAGTATATATATCATGTAAACTTTCTTTGGGGATTACTCACTCTATAATCAGCAGTCTGCTCTAAATAAAAGAAAAAACACACATCTCTTGTGGAAACACTCTTGTCTATTCAAGGATACCAATCCTTGAACATGGGTAAACAGAATTCAGAAATATTTTTGTGCAAGAAGAAGAAGCGAGTTAATCCTGTACGAAGAAGGAAGTGCAATTGTTTCATGGAGACATAAAATTTAAACAATGCGTTTCATGTATTTTATACTGTTTTTAACTGAAGTTAAAAAACACGATTTGCGAGAAGTTCTCTTTCCTGTGTTTTAAGAATCCCAACTATCTCCGTGAGTCGAAATAAGGGTATTAGCTCGCTAATTAGTACAATAATTCTGTCTAAACAAGAGGACATCCTAGTAAGCAAAACGACATCCCTGTTTGAAAGCCGTCTAGACAAAAAATTTAAATTTTTCACAGTCAAAAAGGAAACTAAAGATAAACCGATTTCTGTTAAAAAAATAAAACTATGTTCAGAATAGGCAAAAATATTTTCAAAATCATTTCATAGCTGAACTGCAGCGCGGTACTAACAAATGATTCTTCTCTTAGAAAGATTTAAGTAACAACTCTGATACCAAACCAAGGTCAAAAGTACAGTGTTCCCTCATGTGTAGATGTGACATGGCATTACGTATAGAAATGAAATTATTATACTTGTCACTAAGTTCTTTATTAATTTTTAAATAAAAAAGTCAAAGGTAACGTTTTGTGTGGGCGTTAAACTTATTTCACGGTCTCCATAACTTGGGAAACAGAATATAAGGGAAGAATCGCACTGGAAAGGTGTTCGGGAGAGGAACCTGGCAGGGTGGGCACTGCCCACTGGCCTGGCTGGACAGGGAGAGGGCAGGGCTGGCATCCAGCTTGGGCGCATCTGCCAGACCACGTACCCCAGAAAGGGCTTGGGACTCCCCCTGGCACCTACCTTACAGGCTCGGTGCTAACTTAGGTCTCATTTTCAAAGCACCTGAGAGACAACAGACTTCACCCAGGGTTTCCATGGCAGACACCCCCACCCCCCCGAGGTCAGCTGCTCCCTAGGTGATCTGTCAGGAAGGCCCAGCCCAGTAGATCAGCCCCTCCTTCCTTCCTTCTGCTCTTGCGTGCATGGAAGACAGCAGCCGGTGCCTGTCCCACGCAGGTCAGCCCTATACGCACCCCTATCTCAAGGGCAAGCGAGCCAGTACAGCAGGAAGCCTGTGAGGAGAGGGCACCCCGCTGACAGTCCACCTGCAGCGAGAAAGGGGCGCTGTAGACAGAGACCCACATGAGCTACCACGCAAGTTCCCAGGGTCAGGAGGATGATGAGCTCAAGCATGCAGGGGGGGGAGGCACCAGTGCTCCATCCCGGGCGCCTGGGCGTACGCTAAGTGGCGCTCCATGTGGTGCTCCCTGTGTCTGTGGGCCACCTGCCCAGACCCACGTTCACTGCGGCCACCACGCACGACAATCAGGGGCACGCCTCAGGCCACCGTCTGCACAAGCCACACACTGTCCGGTTGAAACTTTCATACTGTTTTCTTTTGTTTTGTAAATGAGGATTAAGGAGCACGTTTGGGGGAGCACATTCAAGTGCAGACTCCAGAGAACACGTCTGGCTTGTGCCTGCAGGCCAGAGCATGCTGTGAGCACGCGTCAGGCTGGAGGGACACTCTTGTCTGTTCTGCGGTTTTCCCCGTGCCCACGCCTGCCGGGACCCTGGCAGTCACCCAACTCCAGGGAAGCACCGGGCTCCACGTGCCGCTCCCGCCACAGCCTCTCCACGCCGCTGGCCCAGCAGAGACACGCAGATGAGCATGGTGTGGGGGAGGGGCGAGCCAGGTCCCAGCAAACGGCTGCTCGGGCCACCTGCCCACAGGACACGCAGGGCCACGGCAGGGACAGCTGCGGTGACAGCCAAGGACGCTGCCCAATGCCGAGCGCCGAGAGAGCTTTCAACGAGGGAGGGAGCGCTAAACTCTGAGAGCAGATCCTATCCCACTAAGCATTTCACCCAGTCACGCCGCAGCATCAACCTGCCCCAGAGATAATGGCCCCTTAATTTGGGGCAATGCCACTTCCAGGTCTCTGTGCTGGGCCTGTCTGGGGCCTCCCACCCAACCTGTGACTCCCAGCCTGACAGATGGAGGGCCACGGCACGGGTTCCCTGTGGCAACGGTCTATGCCACACGTACCATTGAAAGTTACGGGATGAGGGCCTCCCTCGTGGCACAAGGGGTCAAGACGCAATCTATGAAGCTTCCGCAGCCTCTGCAGCACGAGTTCAATCCCCAGCCAGCCAGGGAGCTACCCACATGGCGCGGCAGACCTCTCCTGACTCGCCCGCTGCTCCCCTCAGCAGTGTATTTCCGTCAGTCTGCCTGTTCTGTTCCCCACTCTGTCTCTGGTGAATCCTCTCACCCCCACACCTCTGGCCTGTACCCCAGTTCTTGTATGCATAAATAAATAAATCTTAAAAAAAAAAGTTACAGGATGAACTGAAACGATACCCATGGGAGGCCAATGGACACGGGGAGTGGCTTAAACTGGAGACCCATGTGAAAGCAAAGCTTCCTCCCGTGATGACCGCTCAGACCCACACGTGAAGTCCCCGGTTCTCAGCCAGACAAAGGAGACCCGGAAGGTGCCAGGCCGCATGGCCATTCTCGAAAAGGCAGATGACCGGCCCAGTACCGCCTGACCACAGCAGAAGTTAGTCACTGGGAAGCACTTACACGGGACACCTTTTAAAATCACCGCAGTGTTTAAGTCTATTTTCAGTGACGGCTTCAAGTCTTCAAGCTGGATCTCGGCCGCAGCATTTCCACGCATTTATGCCAAAGACTCTCAGGCCCACAAGGCGGGGCTGTGTACTGGGAGGGAAGTCCCGGCAAACATATCTGCAAACTACTCCCCCTTCCGCTCTGGAAAGGGCAGATTGAGTTTTCTGTCCACTCGTTGGCCACATTTCCCCGCCAGATCTTGCAAATCCACAGAGCCACAACGTGACGTGAAGAAGCCAAGAGGAACCCACATCAGAGCGCATCAGACCCAGGCCCGCCCCCGAGCAACGGCATCTCATCCACAGCCCTGGACAGCACAGGACTGAAGGATCCTTCCAGACGGCCCGTGTCCCCTGCAAAGCTCCTTCCTAAAAACAACTTGATACTGTCACCGCTTGTTAAATAATTAAGGCCTATTCAGAATTTTCTTTTTTGAGATTCTTTCCATGACAACCTCGTTAGTTCTACAAAAGACATCTCGGGGTGGCTCTGGCAGCACCGGACATGCCCACGGGAAGGCGTCCACGCGGGGTGTGAATCCTCGTCCTACTCTCTGGGACTCTGGTGAGCAGGTCAGGGCGGGAGGGGGCCTGGGTGTGGGCAGCTCACGACCTCAGCCCTGGGGGTGCCGTGGAAGCCCTGAGCCTGCTCAATAGGAATCGGGCCACCGAGGAGCGAGACCAAGGCGGGGTCCATGCCACCACACCCCTTCTCAGAAGGCATGTGGAACCCCTAAGGCACTGAGGGTGCCATGGAACACGGGGTCCTCCACGCCCGTTGGGAAACAGCCCCCGACTCATAAAGTCGCTTCTCCCTCCCGGGGAGCATCTGGCCATGGAAATGACAGCAGAGGAGACGGTGGTGCCGCCCATCTCAGGAGGACGGAATCTGGGGCAATGCAGTGTCCTCTACACCGACCGATTCTGCTGAGACGGCGCCTCCCTGATGGAGGACACGACGATCAGGTGGCCCCACACCAGGCAAGCCTGGATCTAGAACAGTCTCTTCCATCTGCAGGGCCGTCTGTGTAGCTGCACTTGGCAGTGAGGGCTCTCGGAGGGTGAGAGGTGGTGCTGCTCTCAGCTCCACTCTCGTCACCACACCCAAAATGGGGGTTCCCCAGGCCTCAAGGGCCACGTGGTAGGGGAGGAGACCTGTGCCCCAAGGCTCCTGTCCACTGAGATCTGCTGACAGGGCAGCAAGCAAGCTCAGTTCCCCATCCAGACCCTTGTGGGCTCCCTCCCTGAGGAGCCTCTGGCCAGCAGGCTGTGCCTGAGAGACCCTCCCCAGGCTCCAACCCCTAAGCAGAGGCAGGGTTGCGCCCACACCTGCCCACCAGGCAGACCCCTCACTGTGCCTGGATGTCACCCAGATGCCCAGAGTCGGCCCCTTCCAACAGAGGCCTCAGCAGAGGGTCACAGAGCTCCATTCACCGTCATGTCACGTATCACCCGCCCTACTTCAAGCAGGCAGCTCCACAGCGTGCCAGCTCCAGGGTCCATGCCACCCCCAGGAAGACAGGAGCACCAGTCCTCGAGCCACTTCCCCACGGGGTCCCGTCTTTACCACCTGCACAAAGCTGTTTCCAGATTACAGAAAAGAACGGTTATGACGGAGAACACAGAAAGGCAGACGTTTTTACAGAATGGAGAAGTCCACTGCAAATAAAGCCAATCCACGGGAAACATTTTATTTCCTAATGTACACACACACTGTCACGCACAGCCCAGGCCCGGGGAGCTACACGTTACACATGAGCATCTGGACGTGACAGCTGAAACCCCGAGACGTGCCGGGCCACCGTACGGGATGGAGCGCCATCGAGGTGGCCAGAGCTGCGTCTGGGCCCCGGAACCCCGGGCCACCCCCACCACCCACCAGGCACGGAAGGAAGCACAGCCCAGAGCTGATTCCGGCCGCCGGAGGACCTTGCTCCTGCCACCGCAGGATGCGCAGAAAGACGAAGCCCAGCGCACCTGTCTGGGGGCAGGAGACCTGCGGAGGCTTTTCTGGTCTGTGACCAGGACTGTTGCCCTTTCCAAGTGCCATCAACTAAACTCAGGTAAGTGGTAACCGGTTCTGGAAAAGAAACACATCGAAGGGGACATACATGGGCCCTCGAGCCTCAGAAACCAAACCCGAGTAACAGGGAGGACGGCGGTCAAGCTGAGAGGCCGGCAGGCGGACCCTTACATCTCTGTCACCGCCAGCCCTTCCTCGGGGAGAGGACAGAGCCTCCCACGCCCCAGGCCTCTGCACCACCTCGCAGAGCCCGGACGGCGCCACAGCTGAGCTGGGCCCCTCCACGGCTTTTTAAGGACGTCAGTCGTAGAATTCTACCCAGCGCGCTTTTCATATAAAAACGCAGAAGGAGCAGAGAGCAAGTGAGAACCCAGAAGACACACAACCTTCGCGAGAGCTCAGTCAGGAAAAGAGCAGGAGCCAACGCTCCCGTCTCCAAACGCCGCGTGGCTGCCTGTCCAACCTTGACACTTGCTCCAGATCGTGGCAAATGAGTGCATTTTGCACACCAGCCAGGACACAAACGCAGACTGTCATGAAACAAGCTCAGTTTCACCAAAGGCGATTGGAAAAGGAGTAGTAGGTGGACTTGAGAGCCAGAGACAGTCCAGGAGGAGGCTCGGGGCCAGCACAGAGTCGCGTGGCGCCGGACACTTACGATGAGCTCGGAGTCCCGCCCCATGGAAATGACCGTCCGGTTCACCGTGCGGAGAAGCTTCTCCATGATGATCTGCACGTGCCGCTGCGTCGGGCCCTGCAGGAGGACACAGCAGTGAGACCTAAGACATCATTAACATGCCAGCCTCGGCACCTGCCAGTGAAGCCATTTACCCTGCGAAGAGTAAATCAATTATAACCCTTAACAAGATGAAAAATGGTTCTTGTCAAAGGCAAAAGCCTTCACAAAGCAAACACAAGGCATTTCATTAATTATCACCCATTAATGATAATTTGTTATGTAATCATAGTAATTTGATTTAAGCAAACCTTAAAATAAAAGCAAATCTGTTTAAACAATATAATGTTTATGATCCCCAATGCGCCCGCCAATTAGTTCTCTGAGACACTGGCCGTCTCTGAAGGGGAGGCAGCGGGGTAGCCGGGGTAGGGGGTCGCTGCTCACACGGCAGCGCCGAGGAACAAACAGGCCCGTGGACGAGAACGTCCAAGTATCACCTCAGCAGCTGGCGGAAATTCAGTCCAGAGAACCTTCCATGGGTCAAAAGTGCTTGTACGTTGTGAGCCGTGGGACTGCGGGTTCCCCCTCGGGAGCTGAGTGGGAGTGACAGAATGTTCCCAGGCCCCTGCAAGGCTTGGCCATCCAGCCCTAGTTCCCACAGTTTCCTAAGATCAAGGAGGGCCCTGGAATGGGACCCCGGAGGGTGGCTTTGGGTTCAGGTCTCAAAAAACTTTTAAGGCAATTTCCCCGGAAGCGCTGACCGCTGGCGCCACGCGGGGAGCTACTGTAACCCGCCCTGCCTCCAAGGGCGGCTCCGGGAGAGCAAGTCCGTGCTGAAATACAGAGGGCAGCGCCTGTGTGTGCCTGCATGTGCACACAGGACTGTGTGCATGTGCGTGTGAGTATCAGTGTGTGTGCACACAGACTGCAGCAGGGTCTCGGCGTGTGCACAAGCCCTACGCACAAGGCCTGCGGCCTTGGGACCCTCGGGCCGTCTTCCCGCTGCTCATGGCAGAGACAGACGAAGCCATGTCACCTGCCCAGGCTCACCTGGAGAGTCACAGAGCACACAGGTGTGCGCACATGTACATGGCGGGTCTACTAGGGTCAGACTTTCCATACATCTGCACCAGGTTTAGTTAAAAGGAGAAGATCAATGGACGAGCAGACCATTTAGAAAGGCAAAAGGAAATATATTAAAAAAAACAGAAGAAAACAGCAACTAGCTAAGGACACACGACAGGAAGCTGTCTCTGGGGAGAAGGGCCTGGAGGAGCCGGCGAGGGCGTCCCTCACTTCAGTGCAACTAAGACGAGGAAACAATGCAGGCCACTCGCCTCCGTGGGTTGACTGCCAATATTATATCAAAGTCTCCAGTTGACCCGATGATCAAAAATCTAAGACTTGGGAGGCACTGAGGAGTCACAGGAAGGAAGTTTAAGAACATTCTCTTTACTGCAGAAGCATAATCATGGCAATTTAATTAACATACTTCACACATAAAATAATTTCCAAGCAAAGCTCTATGGAGAGAGAGAGAGAGAGAAAGGCTAGCCTAAGAAGTAAGGTCACTCCATTTGCAGTGGATCAAGTGGATCAAGTGGGGCAGCCCGGCCCCACCTCCTGCTGGAAGCACAGGCCGCCGATGAGGCCACTACTCACCACGTCCTTCCTGTACAGCACCTCCAGGATGTTGCTGAGCAGCTGGCAGCAGGCTTCCAGGTCCTCCTGCCTCTCCAGGTGGTACTTGAGCTGGTCGGTCATCATGGGAAGCAGGACCTCTCTGCAATCTGTGGGGGACAGGGAGCGACAAGTGAACAGGGGACTCACAAGAGGCAATTCACAAGAGCCTGGCCTCTGCATGAGGAGGCAGCATTTGGGCATCTCTGCACAACCTGTGCCTCCGTGACGATGCCAGGAGCAGCATATTTCCTCGGTCAGTCATTTTCACTGGGGGGGTCACAGCACACCACCACTGAGTCAGTGAGGCGGGACCTGCCATCTCTACAGCCCCGTCTGTCCCATGCTAGATGTCGGAGGGACACCAGCAGGACAGTAGGTCTCTCCCACCTTTCTGGGAGCCCAGCTTCACCGGCCAGTGTGCAACTGGCCTGGACAGCCACGTGCAGGCCCATGGCTGCACACGGCTGCTGTATGTGAGTGTGCAGGAATGAGTGTGCAAATGCACACACATTAGTGGAGCAGGAAGCTGTGACACAAACACACTGGAACACTACTCAGCTTTTTAAAAAGATGAACTGTTGCCATTTCCACAACTCGGATGGAACTGGAGGGGATTATGCTAAGTGAGATCAGTCACAAGGAGAAAGACAAATAGGATTTCACTCAAATGTGGAATCTATAGAAATAAAACAAAGGAACAGGAAGACGAAACTAAAACAATCCCAGAAATCTGATCGCAGAACTGAAGGTTCCAGAGCGGGAGGATGGGGCTCAATCAACGGTGGTGGAGGATGCAGGGGCCTTTGGGGGGCGTGGTACGGCGGCACACATCTGAAGAGGTATGACCCTGTATCCCCAGATTATGTACAATGTTGTAAACCACTGTTCCCTAAATAAAAGCAGCACAATCAGAAAGAAGGCTCAGAGTCTGGCAGAAAGAAGCCCTAGTCGACCTCCCAGGCTGCCCAGCGATGCAGCTGCCCCCCAAGGAAACTAACGCATTTTTCTCAGACTTTCATTTTTTAAAATGCATTTTAGTCCACCTGCCTGTCAGTCCATCTCATTGTTTTCAAGAAGTAGCAGGCACGCATTTTAAATAACACCAAATTTTCCCCTAAGTCAAGATCAAAAACCAAGAACACAGGGTCTCCCTGGTGGTGCAACGGGTTAAGTCTCAGCACTATGTAGCTATGCACAGCCACTGCAGCACAAGTTTGTTCCCCGGCCAGGGAGCTGACGCAGCAGACCTCTCCTGTCTCCCCGCTGCTCCCCTCAGCAGTGTATTTCAGTCAGTCTGCCTGTCTGCTCCCCACTTTGTCTCCGGGGATCCTCTATTTCTCTCTCTCACACACACACAAACACACACACACACAGACACACGCAGGTATATCCGCACCTCTGGCCTATACCCCAGCTCTTGTATGTATAAATAAATAAAATAAATCTTAAAATAAAAAGAACACAGAGCAAGGCACAAAGCATATGCATACAGTCACACACGTTCATGCATACACACACCCCCACACACATCCCTACAAACCACACATTCACACACCACACACACTCATGTACACTCCACACATAATGCACATTCATGCCTGTGATGAACTATTTTCAAGCATCAACTCTGAGTCTGGCAGTCAGGGAAGAGGACGCCTCTGTGGAGTCTGCATTCCCCACTCGGCATCCTGACCTGGTGCCCATGGACACATCGTGTTCGTGAGGATTCATGTGACAGACCCCCAGGATCACAACAGATGGCCTGGAAAGCTGACAATAAAAAAACAAAATACATTGTTTTAAAAGGAAAACACATTTAAAACAAACTACCCACAGCCCATGATAACTATTGGGAAAATGGCTGCAATGAACACGAGGCCCTCAGTCTAGAAACCTGGTTCATGCTGTGGGATTTTGGCAAAGCTTTGATCTCACCCAGGTTCAGCTCCGCCTCCAGACACACAAGAAAACAGTAACATCGCCCCTTCTCTCTTCATTTGGGCCTGGGGCAAAGGCAAGGACCTTCGTAAAGGTCCTTGACGAAAAGGGGTGCTGTTTACATCTCGGGGTCATCGTAAGAATTAGGTGAGGCAACGTGTCTGCTTGGCAGAGTGAGCGCTCGCTCGTGGGCGGCTGACAGTCACAGTCACAGAAATGATCTTATTATACAAGTCAGCCCTTTCAGCGAAAGCCACACAAAGAAAAGTAACATTCCCGTCTTCAAGCCGCACTGCCAATCACACCGGCCTCAAAATACAGTTAGTGGCCCCGAGGAATGGTACTTTTAATGTTACTTGAGTTTAAGTCATTTAAACTTCAATGGAAAAAATGATAATCAATCCAGAAATTGGAAATCACTGTTGGAACAACGGCCTTGAAGAACTTGGGCGTGTGACCCTAGAGTTCAATGGTTAGTTTGACCATGTTAATCACACAGGTCAAGCATGTTCGGTGGAAACTCAGCCCCGAAGCTGAGATGTGCTGTCACCGTGAAACAAACACTGGACCTCAGAGACTGAGTGCAGGGAAAAGAATGTGAAGTATTTCCATTTAAGTCATATTGAGATGATAGTGCAGATAAAATCTGCTGTTAAGATTAATTTCACGGATCTCATTGTGCTTCTTTTTTTTCTGGGGACTCCAGAAAATTCTAAATTGTAGAAGCCGCTCCCTCTCTCTTTCCGTTGCACAGAACAGCCTGCGAGGAAGCGAGGAAGCAGATGCTAAAGATTTCTCATGTTAATGAACTGCTGCTCTGGCTGGGAGCAGAGTGGAGGCCGCAGCAACCTGCACAGCTCTCCCTGGCGCGGGGGTGACTGTGGGACAGACACGGTCAAGCTTTCCCGACTCTCCCTGCTGGTCAGAGGAAGGGGCCAGCCCAGCCCAGGGGCAGCGAGGCCCGTGGGCCCAGACTCCATGCAAATCAGCTGTGGGGGTCAGAGCCCGGCTGGCCACAGTCACCCCCATGCCTCCCGTTCCAGTGTGACCCACTATGATGACAGTAAGCAGTGATTCAACATCTGTTCACCCTCAGCTCTGCAGGCTGAAGTCATGATGATTAATACCCTGGAAATGGGCACAGAGTAAAAAATATTAATCTTTATAAAAGGTATTCAACAGGCATCATCAGCTTATGGATGTCCAAGCAGAACATCCGTCTCTCACCCCGTTACGGCTCTACATTAAAGCAAGATGCAAATACAAGAATGAATTTGTCCATTTAAAACATTCATTTTATGAACACTGAGTAATGTGCTTCTTAATTTTTAGTTTGGTCACATTAAACAAATGATCCATAAAGTGCATTTAATAACCTTGAGCCTGTTACACAGAACTGAGATCCAGATTAACACTTTTAATGAGAATTAAACAGTAAGAGCCATATAAGTGGGATGCTTGTTATTCATCTTTTATAGACAAAGATCTTTATTTTTCAACCATCTAAGAACTCTATACCCACATGATTCAATTTGTTTAAACGATTCTTCTTCCTTCATACAAGATTTCAAGCAAAACAAATGCCGAAGATACTGCCAGGAATGGAAGCGCTCATAGAAGGCATTTGTTTATCTCCATATTTTACAGATGTGGGGGCCAGAAGCCAGAGAAGAGACATATGGGGACTGTACCTCTAAGCAGCAACTAAGCCAGAATGAGATGCCTGATCCTAAACACAGAGGGCCTTAGGGCAAATTATCATGCGTGTGTGCATGTGTGTACACGCATGATTCGGGTATCTGTATCAGCCAAATACAGATTTTTTTTTTTTTAAGAATCATCATAATGGAGCAAGTCCTCATGACGAGTAGTACCAGGAGAAAAAGGTCAAGCCGAGTAATTGTAGGCATGCAATTTTTCCTTTCCAGCTTTAATATTTTGTCTGTAAAATGAAGTAAATACAGCCACCTGGCATGATTTCTACCTCTCTAGACAGGGAGCACCTTTCTAAGTGTTCTGAGGGGAAGATGCTCATCTCAGTTCATGAGTGCTGACATGAGCAGAGATAAGGGCATTACATTCAGCTTCGAGATGCCTCATGTTACAGGACTTGCAACGAAAGGGTAACAGAGGAATTAAAAGGATCCTGGAAAGTGCGAAGAATATGGCAAGACGCAGATTGCAAAACAACGGGGGAAGAAGTGGGTCACAGAAATCTGTGGATAAAGCCACTGACCCGGGTGAGAAGTGTGTCATTTTGGGAAGAAGGGAGCAGAGCAGCAGGTATTTTCTATCCTTTAGTTTGAAGAAGAATAAATAAGTGGGGTTAGGTTAGGGGTAGCGCTGTGATAAATGACTGGTTAGGAAATACATGAAAGAACAACCAAGGGGAAAAAACTGCAAAAGAGTCTCATTTCTAAGTAGATGAAAATATTTAAAAGTGTCAAGTCAAAGGCTGAGGAACTTCCGTGGGCGTCTGGTCTGGCCCTGAACCTGTTCCCAAGAGGGATGGACGTGCATCAAAGAGGAAGCTCAGCAAGCTCAGAAGGAACTTGCAGGTCTGCCTGTCCTTGGTCAGAATCTGACCACGTGGTGGATGAGAAAATAAAGACAGAATACTGGGCTGCGGATGCTGCCGCAGAGGGGGATGTGGAGAGGTGGTATTCCTCTAACAAAGGATGAAGCCAAGAACATACATCTTGGTGAGTGTGCCCTGGTGTGTGCGAAAACACACACACACACACACACACACACACGCGCGCACACACAAATTTCCCTGACAATGAAAGGTATACCTTAAAAACAAAGAAGAAAATACATCGATTGGCCCACTGCATTTTAAGGGATGTTTTATACGCTCAAGGAGGGAAGGCGTGACGCAACAGAATAAAAATGGGGTCTTGAGGGAGTACCTGGGAGATTATGGGGTGATCTGGGGGTCCACCAACGACCCCAGGCAAGTTACTGTCGGCAAATTGAGCTTACAGGACCTGGATGGACTCTGGAGACTCAGAGACCTGCTGCCCTCATGGCTGGCGTGAGCTCGACTACAAATGGGACAGTCAAGGCAGCCTCTCCTCAGGTTCTCACCATTCCCGCCGACCCGGAGCAGGCACAGGAGCAGGCCCAGAGGTGGGTGCAGAACAGGTTCAGCAAGCTGTGATAAAGG